TCAAAATGGTTATATTTTTTTGAGAAAAATACTTTTCTGGAAAGTTTTACCGTGTTCGTGCCTAAGCTTTAAAACATAACAGGTATTCATTGTTATTTATTAAATTTGGACTCTACAAATTAAATTTAGACTAGATGATTGGTGATAAACATATTTATTAAAAAATTTTACAATTTTTTTATTTTAATAAATATAAAATAAATATTTTAAATCTGGATGATTCATATTTTATAATCTTGATGAGCACCATAAGGATGATGATGAACATGGAAGCTAGTCCGCTACACGAGGAGACAGATATCTTGTTGTATAGTGTGATGCTTGTAAATTTACCTTGTACCTTCATTTATCATTAATCAAGTTCCCATTTTAGTCCTTCAATTGCAGCATATGATTTCCTCTTTTCTAAGGATGAATTCTGGCATGAACAAAATTTTGCATCTTTCTATTCTATTGAAGCTAGTTGGTTTATGCTTGGTGTTGTCATTAGTCTTCCTTCTGAATCATTTGGTTGTTGGATCGTACTAGAAGTTTAACAATTCGATACGATTGGAAAACGAGAGAAGGAAAAAAGTTAAGGAGGGAATATAATTAACTTTATTACATAGCATCGTTCCACTTTGATACACGTTGTGCTCGAGCTTCCGAGGAATCACTTTTCAAGCCGAGAAAGTTTTATCAATTTTATTGTTGCACTGGCCGGTAATAAATGTAATGAGCTATATTCCAAGTTGCAATCTTCCAATAATACACAACTGTCCCACCTTCCAAGTACCCTTGTATGAGGAATATTTATTTACTTTGACTTTTTCTTTTATTGTTAACTTTTTACCACTCAATTGTTAAGTTTGCACAACTTATATGTCCAAAAATTTAAGAAAAAATGGCTCTTAGGTCTTACATAAGGAATTTAAATACAAAAAAGTCTCATGAAATCACAAAATTACTCTAAAATTTCATGTTATTTATTGAAGTTGTCAATTTATTGTATTGAAATTGTCAATCAATATTGAATAGTTGTTATTAATGGGAACTCAGCAGAAATAATTAATAAATATCCAATCGTAATTGACAGCTTTAATAAAAAAAAAAAAACCATGTAACTTTGGGCTTTTCATGCAATTTTTAGAATGTAATGGATCCTTCACATTATAAATTCTTTTCAAGGGCCCTCAATGCAAACCTTGAATATATTATCATCAGACAGAGATACCAAAGTGTCACACCACCAATTGTTTTCCCTTCTTGAGGTATAGCCTTTTCTTGAAAAAAATAATATATATATATATATATATATGTATATATTTTGAAATAATGATCTCAATAATCAGGGGATGACAAATTAAAGGTAATTAAGATAGTAAGTACTCTTTTTGGTCCAAAATATAAATACTTTTAGAAAAAAATACACATACCAAAACAATAACTTGTTTTTGGATATTTATCCTCCTTTCAGAGGCGGTTCATGAATTGGTATTTTTCTATTTCTCTATTTCAATTCTTATCTCTTTCTGTTTGGAAACTGATAAAATAGCTAGGGGGTTGACATTCTTTTTCTTTTGTTTAGTTGTACTTTTGTGTTCATTATAATATTTGTCTTTTAATCAACAAAAAATTAAAAAAAATCATTCTCATATATATATATATATATATACATATATCTTTAATCTCCATCTCAATTACCAATACTGAAATAAATTAAAAAGAGATTAAGAATAATCATCTTCCTCATATAAAGCTGGCCAATAAAGTTTAAGAATGGATCCTCCTACTATAAAACTAACTAATAAAATTGCCCCATTCTATCTTTATGAGATAAACGCACCTGACTAATAAAATTTGGCTTTCAAAATGACAATCATCTGTTGGAATTGAAGAGTATAAATGGCATTGGATTTAAAGTGAAGGAAATGTCACTGTTCCAGATTGGATGACCTTCAAAGCAGTGACGATTTGGAAAAATGATTTATGTGGTCAAAAGTTATTTTATCTTATAATATATTTTTTTATCCTAAATTGATTATATATCTAAGAATGATCAAGGTGTTATTTTTCATAACTTGAATATTTATAATTTATACAGGATTTCTTTATATGCATGGCATGATATAATAACTTTTATACTCATTCCCATACATACTGATACTTGGACTAACTATTTTATTCATGACATAATATTGAAGGTTATCCAAAGTAAAAATACAAGTGAGCACTAAGAGGAAACCATTAATGTAATCATTAGCATGCTTCACTTAAGAATGAAGAACACAAGATGATGAGAAAGATGATCCAACTGGAACTCAAGTAAATGAAGACTTACAAGCTTGGATCCATCATAGCCTTGGTCTTGATAAGTATAATATCATTAGGCTTTCTAATTTTTATGTTAAATTCATTGTTTTATATGTATCATAACATTCAATTATAGTTTTAAAATAAATAGTGAAATATAACCTTAATCTTGTTTTCAACCAATTATATTTCACAAGATTTAAAAATCTTTTCTCTTAAATATTATTTAAAAACTAACTCCATAGAGTTTCTTAAAAGTTATATTTACTCAAAGTGGAGTTATGTTATTAACATTTGAAGTCCATTATGAGTTTGGGAGATATTTAGTTTTGACCTTGATTCAGTATTTTCTTTATATCTCTTAATATACAAATCTATTTAATGTGAAACTTCTTTTATTTAAAAATAGACTTGTAAATATTTCTAAAGACATATATTTCATTCAAAATATATTTTATATGAAGTAGATATGATTTTTTAAAGTTGGCTGTTAAAACCTCCGGTGCTCAAAAAAACACTACTAATCTTTGCTCATGTTTTTGATCATATACCTCAAAATACTTTGAACTTTTTAGTGGATGTTATTTCAATGGAAACTAGACATCTAGAGCTTTCCAACCATAGGTCATTTACCTATTTTGGATTTATAATAAAAGAGTTATAATTGTTAAAATTTGACCTATAAACTGTGTTACGGAAATGTGCCTTAGCATCAGTGCTATACTATTAACACTGGTGCTATTTCTTTGTTTTTGGCAAAAAAACCTCTCTTTAGCATCTATACTAAGTGCAAACATCTATGCTATTGATATTTTAGTATTAGTACTACTTTTTAGCACCGATACTACTTTTCTACACAAGTATAATCCTTATTTCTTCAAATATTCTAAGCGGCTGTCTACATATTTCATTGGTTAGCACCTGTGCTAAATATTATCATTATACTATTCTGCAAAGTTTTGAAATAGAAGATTTCATTCAAGTTACATTAACACCAGTGCTTTCATCAACACCTGTGCTATAAATTATCTTTTGAGATAATCTTTTTATTTCCATAAAATGAAAAGTATCATCATCATTTATGAAAAGCCTTGTACTAGTAATATCAAAGTAACACCTGTGTTATTTTCACTGTACTGTCATTATTCCTCATCACAGCGCCAATACTATTGCAATAGCACCTGTACTAAATTGATTTTTCATGCTTTGTTTTTCGTTCTCAATTCTAAAATTTTCAAAACTTATTTCTTAGCTATTTTTTTCATTTGCAATCAATTGTGTTCATTTAATAACCTTCCTAGAATCTATCTAAACACAATTATTGCTTGGATCAAACTCCTTGTGATTCATTCTTTATTTACACCACCTATGCTAAAATATTACACCGGTATAATCCTTCATCTACTTTTGTCAGAACATCAAATGCATGAATACTGTTATATTTGCTTTTGGCTCTAATATGTAATAACATTGTGGTTGAAAAGCTGCCAGTTCCTTTTATCCTTTTCGGGTAACAATGCCGTTGCAAAGCTACAAAGTTACATTTACAACCATAATGTTAAAGATCGAACAACAACGAAAAATTGATTGTGTCAAATGGACACTATGCAAGACGTAAGAGGAGCGAAGATAATTACTCCAATGGCTATTTTAAATGAGTCTAACGGATTGTTTATCAACTCAAACTATAAAAGAACTCATCTATAAAGATCAAAGAAGAGAAGTAAGTGGTACAAGTTGTGATATTCAATACCTTCAATTACTCTCTATATTTGTCTTGAATATTATTATACTTCAATGTATTCATCTACTCAATGAGTGAGTTTGTATCAATATCACTTTGTGATCAAAATTTCTCTATTATTTAACTGACCAAACTTAAGATCAAGGGATCTTAAGTGAGTGCTAAAATTACCTTTGTGAAGGGGAGAGAAATAGACTTGTAAGTCTAAGAGATTGTAATTGGCTTCACAAGTGTCTGGATCAAACTTGTGGGATTTTTTGTAAAGGAGAGTAATACAGACATTAAGTCTAAGATTATATTATGGCTTCACAAGTGCCCGAATCGAACTTGTGGCTATAGTGAAAAATCTCAAGAAATTCTTGGAGACTGGACGTAGGCTAAGTGAATTGAGTTGAATCAGGATAAATTTTCTATGCATTGTTCTTTATCTCTCTCAACTTCATCTTCACTATTTTATCCTCTCATCATTCATATTCCAAGCTTATGTGGTCAAGAGCTTTAAGTAAAAAATTAGAGAATATTCAATTCACTCTACTCTTGGGTAACCGGCATATCTTACATTAATAAACGCCTTGGTCATCCTCTCATGGAAGTGCTACGAGGTGAAGAAGTTGAGCACAACTATGTTATAAAATAGATTAAAGAAATTAAGTGTAAGGAAAATTAATAATTCAATCTCTATAATTTTGATATAGTTGTAACTCAATTCCTCAACTCGTTATAATTTAATTTCTAAAGTTTTAATTTGATTACAAATCAATCCCTGAATTTTATCTCTTACAATTTAATCCCTAAAATTTTAACATTTTAAATATTAGTCCTCAAATTTTAAAAAATAAAATTATAAAAATTAAAAATATTTTAAACTTTTAATCTTTATGATATTTATAAAGATTAAAAAAGTTTAATGATTTAAAATATAAGTAATAAATCGAGGGGAGGGAGGAGACTTGGATCCGCAATCGGCTGCAGAGAAAGCGGTTGCTCTGATTAGAGTGGGATGCGATGTTTGCAGGGACGTTCGTTTATCGGGATGAAAGGCCATAATTGCCGACCTTCCCAGTGACCGAACAAAGGGGCTCGTCTTCTCCGGCGGCGTTTCTGCTTCCGTGAAGTGCCATCGTGGGGAAATCTTCAGAGATTCCTAGCTCCCAGTTTCTTTCCTTCCATCAGGTTACTTCCCCAACATGTTATATAGCTTCTTAAGCGTAGTTTTTTTTTTTTTTTTTTAAACTTCTATGGCATTTACTACTTTTAGATAAGATAATACCAAATTGTTAATTTTGTAGCAATTTGACAAAAACACAACTGTGAGTCTCTGGTAGGGGAACGTGTTGCCAATTTGCATTGAAGTGAACGTATGAATATAATGTATGTGTGAAGAGATAAAAAAAAGGAAAGAAATGAATGTGAAGATATATGATAACTAGGTTATTAATTAATTATAGACATTGCATACCTTTATTTTTGGTGCAGAGAAAAGAAAATAGTTTTCCACCATTTAGACCAAAAACAGGGATAGGGACTAATGGCTGTGGGTTCATTTGCTTTTGCTTGATGGTATTAAGTTCTTACACGGATGATTCATAATAGCACCAAGGATTTGGTTGAAGTATAACACCGGGGACATTACCTATTGAGAGGTATTACTTAACCTATTTCTACGAAGGTATCTTAAATGATCCCAAAGGAGAATTAATGGCATAGATATCATTTGTGATTTTCAACTTTTATAAGCACCGCTACTTCGAAGGTCTAATAACATTCTTTCTGTTATGTTTTTATAATTTTGACATTTTATTAGTTAGTTATAACCGTTGGTTACTAGCCGTTGGGTATATTCAGCGGTTATATAAATACTTTTATGTTTCATTGTATTATGTTGTTGTTCAATAGACTTGGTACTGTTCAGAAAGTTCTCGCCTCTCTTCTCTCTCTTTCTCTTCACCCTCTCGTCTCTCATCTTCTCTAAACCTTCATCTGTTCTTCTCTCCTCCTATTCTCTTTCTACATCTATTCTATTCTCTTCTATTATTACAAAAGTATAACACTTTCCTGTTTTCCGGACACAAACTGTGTGTACTTTGGGGTTTGACGGTTTGACCTTTTTGTCCTGGCATCTGAAGGTAGGATACAGTTCATATGTTGGAGAGGGATTGTCTGTTTTTAAAATTACTGCAGTACCGATGATACTTCAGCAACAGTGAGGACAAATCATTTAGCGTTTCCACATTTCATGTATTCTCAATTCAAAACACTAGAGTTTTGAATTTTGATCTTCTTGTTTTTTTTTAATGAAATAACTTCAATACGTGATGAACAATACTTTAGTGGCACTGGCTGTGACTCAAGATGATGTTGTTACTCGTTTTTACATTAAGGAGAACATGGCATAAGAGGTTAGAATAGTATTTCTGTTATAAATTGCATAAGGGGTATTTTTTAATATTTAAAGTGGGACGTGCTCTTAATTTGCATTTGGATATCATATTTGTAAATTTTTCTAAACCTCAGGTTATCAACATTAAAAAAAAAAGAAAAAGGAAAAACAAACCTCAAGGAAAGTTATTCACACATTCCTTCAATTTCTAACTAGATTAAGGTTGAAATTGCTGTCAAAACCTCTTATATGTATTATTTTTTCTTTCAATTTTCGCTACTATCACCTTTGATTTTTTTTTTTTGGGGTAGTATCCATGTATGATTTCAAAAAGAAAATAATTTAATTTTGTAGTTTAAACTTATGTGGAATCATGCTGTACGGATGTAATTTTTGAGAGACAGACACTGTCAACTAACTTGTATCTCTTTATCTAACTTAGGTGCAATTTGAATCATGGAAATTCTTCCAAATTCTCCTTGTTGCAGATGTCTGGATAATTCAATTTAGGACTATCTTTGTCAGGGAAGGTTCCATCTAGTTTATTCAATGCCACGTTTGACATGAGGAACAGTTGGAAGAAAGATGCAGCTTGTACCAAAAGCCTTACATTTGATGGTTGGTTCATAACCTTGTATAGTGTTGAATTTGATAGAGCCTGCGTAGCCCTCTCTGAGCATGTGCAAAACCAAGTGCCTGTTTCATGGAACCCTACTGCCCTTGCTGAGTAAGTGCTTTTGGTTTTTTTTTCTTCTTGTTATACCTTCATTCATTTCTTCAATTTCTATTAATACTATACTTGATTTGTTATTATTGTTACTTTTGTTGTTGTTGTTGTAGTAGTAGTAGTAGTAAAACATCATTTGAATAATAGATCACTACAATTTAGAAATAAAAATATTGTTATGTTCATATTCTGATTCGACCATAGAATTATCTATTGCCTCAGCAATCATGGAAATGCAGTTTGACACCTGAACATGACGTTCTAGTCAATAGACCTGCAACCTGATGACGTTCACTTTCAAAATCTGACTGTAATATTTGATAATTTTCTCAACCTTGTATTACATGAAAGTCAATGAACTATTATTTTGTATCCAACATTCGACTTGATTTTTTTTTTTAAAGAAATAATTCTATAGCTATTTCTGATTGAAAAGCCTTGTTTTATCTTATATCTTTGATACATATAGTTTCCTCTGACCTGAATGGTGCTCTGATTGACACTTAACTCATCAGGCTTATTGAGAAATATGGTACCCATATTGTTGGGATGAAGATGGGAGGTAAGGGTGTTGTTCATGTAAAGCAGTTCAGAAGTTCACATCTTCAATCCACTCAAGTGCAGAAATTACTTAAGAAAGAAGCTGATGAGAGGTTTTCTGAGGATAAGAATGGAGGTTTCAGTGCTGATCAATCTGAAGCATCAGTAACATTCAAGGTTCAGTAGATTAAATGCATCACCATCATTTTTAACCGTCTAAAAAGGATTCTATAGACTCTGGAAAAGAATGCATCACCATTAAGCTACAGGATTGTATTCTAAATCTTTTAGTCTGTCTTGAAATAGTTGATTGTGATATCTCCCATTAATAACTTCTCCCATTCCTCCATACCATTAGCAGTCTTTCACTTTAGCATGCTAGTTTGTTTTAGGATCTAAGATATAGATTCTGTGTGAGATTAGAATATCTTTATTTGAGCTGGTAAATTCCTTTCCAAGTAAGTACACAGATTCCAGATATACCAAGTTTTTTTAATCTATTCCCATTCTGCTTCCCATTCCCACATTTCTTGTTCTCATTCCTTCAAAAATCCTTTGTGCATACCAAACGGGGCTATAGTTCTAAAATCATTTAGTGAGATGTCCTGGCCTAAATATATTAGAAAATTTTGTTGCTGGTCACAACAATGTCATTTACATAGCCAGTAAAGGTTGTTGGCTGACCTTGATGTTGCCGCCATTTTAAGAACAAAGTGTGTTCATTACTCTAACTATATCTATGGATTACTATGGCCACATCAAATCAAGCCTTTTGCAGTATTGCAAGAAAAACATGCTGAGATTTCCATGTAGACTTATTAAATCTGCAAAAATGTAATTTTTATATCTAGTCATAGATCCTACCCAAAATTGGTCTAGAGGATAAAAGAACGTTCATCAATGCACAACTACTGATTTTTTTTTTCTTTTTCTGTAAATGGATTTTAAAACCCTAAAATGGGCATTTCTGGCAACTTGAGAACTTACAAAGAATGAAGTAGCACATCGAAAGCTAAGGACCAGATCATGTAGGTTTTCACCTTACTGTTAGAGATTGCTGGATATTATTTGCTATTATCGTTGTAATTTTATTTTTTGGCCAAAAATATCTTTTTATTTTTTAGTTGAATAAAGCAGTGTGTTGAAAGATAGGGATCAGATCATGTAGATTTTCACCTTACTATTAGAGATAGCTAGATATTATTTATAATTATTGTTGTAATTATTTTGGCCAAAAAAATCTTTTTATTTTGGGGAAATGACAATCAGGGACCTATAAGAACATTAATGATAATTACAGACATTAAATTATTGAAATCCTAATAAAGGACCATGGTTCTTACTCGTAATTAAAAAATGTGAAGACTCAGTTGGAAAATCTACTAACTTCACTTGGGACTATTTGTAATATCAATTGGGAATTTACAAAAATTAGTTGAGAATATCGATTATTTACTGTTTAATATATACAGATAAACCATTTGGGAAATCAAGTAAATATACTTGGAATTATTTGTAACATTAGTTGGGAATTTACGAGAATTAGTTATGAATCGCAAGCTAATTACTTATAATTTTGTGCTTTCAATATGTAGATAAATCACTTGGAAAATCAACTATATACATTTGGGGTTATTTGTAATGTCAGTTGGAAATTTACAAAAATTAGTTGTGAATTGTAAGCCAATCACTTATGATTTTTTGTTATTGCTTGGGAAATCAACAACAGTTGTGAATTATAAGCCAATCACTTGTAATTTTTTGTTATAGCTTGGGAAATCAACAAAAGATAGTTGGGAATCTTTGGATCAGTAGTTGGAAATTTACTAAAGTCCGTCATGAATTTCAAATCAATCAATAAAAGATAATTTATTGCAAATAAGGACCATTGTCTGTTATTGGGATTTCAATAATTTAGGGTCTGTAATTGTCATTAATGTTCTTATAGGGTCCCTAATTGTCATTTTCCTTTTTATTATTAGTTGACCCTATCATTAAGATAGAATCTTGGGATATCAATGCCTTATGTTTTTGAATGTGCTTACTATGCATTTATCAACTTCCCTAGCATAGCTTTCTCTGCATGGGCATAAATAGCATGTAAACTCTCTTCAATTATTAGAAACTTTTCCATTTCATTTGTCACTTACATTCATGACTTAGACTTGTTTTATTATCTCATGCAGCTTGCGATTCAGGGATGCTATTCATATATAACTGCATTATCAAAATTAAGTCCTAAATGCAAATAGTCTATACTAACATTTATTTGAGTTTCCTCACACCTAACCTTTTCTTTGTTTTGCTCCTCTTCATGATTCAAACCCAGTATATAATTTATTTTGCTCTCTCATTTGCAGTGTGATTTAACATTATGAATTTATGAACAATTTCATATTTTATGTGATATATAGTTTTACCCCTTTTTTCCCCTTTGGTTTACTGATAATAACACTATGGATTTAATCTTAATTACATGAAGTCATTGTGGGTGAATGGGAAGGAGAAATATGTTGATGTTTTCTTCTTATTGATTTGTTGATAATAAGACTACACTGGTTTGCTATACTTGTGTGTGTGCAAAATTATGCGCACACAAATAAATTCTTATATTCCATGTCGTTGCTAATTTATGTGAGGATATTATAGTTTGAGATACATGTCTCTTTAATTTATGCAAGATAATAGAGATGAGCCATGGAAGGTCGATGTAGCTCTTGCTGCTACTGTTAGACCAGTTGCAAAAAGTTACTCAACCAATGAGGTTGGTGTTAATTTCAGCTACTATTGCTTCTTCAATGTATTATGTAACCGTTGTGCTGCTTACACCTTTGGATTTTGTTATTTAAATGTGATTCAAACAGGATCTCATAAGCATTTCTGTTCAGAGAGGGAGGTATTGTTGGTATTCACCAGCACCAAAAGGAGTGGCTTTCTACTATATCACAGTCACCTGATGCTATATCAATGTTGTTTGTCCCTGTTACTTCACTACTCAGTTCCAGCTCAGGCCATGGGTTCCTTAGCCATGCAATGAATTTGTATGTCAGATGTGAGCACACATTTCCTTATGGCTTATTTAAATGTCCATATATAGTTTTCACTTTTCAATTTCAGTAGACATTGTTATTGCTTAGTTATTGTGGTTTATTTTGTATGCATTGTGACAAATCTGATGTTCTTCAACGTGTCTTGCCGAATTGACAGATGGAACATGTTTTATCTTACATTTCTTCAAGCCAATGAAACCTATTACTTGGTTTGGTGTGTGCTTGGAAGGATAAGGGGAAAGGTTTTGATTTTTACTATTTAGTAATTGTTCTGAAAAGATGGAAAATGAAATTATTGTGAATAAAGATTATAATTTTGGCATTGCATTTTATTCCAGTTGATCCCTTATTTGAGATAATAATGTTATCCAAGGACGGAATGCAACTGAGGGAGCATTTATCCATTGACCCCCTAGCAAGCTTGCGTGCAATAATTACTCATTTTCAATCCTTTCACATTCACTTTTATATACATTCAGACCTGGTTCCTAGGCAGCATTAAACTCCACTTGTATCAAGATACCACAGATTCCTTTACACGCATATTCAAGCAAGTAATCTGAAATAATTTCCTGCAAGATTCATTTAGGGTTGTTCTAAAACATTCTGATTGAGTCATCGAGGACAGATTGGATTGAGTCAGATATAAAATTGTACACTGATATAGAATTGTAATATGGAAAAGGGAGAGGGAAATAAGATAGAAACAGAGAGAGAGAAGGGGAGAGGAAAGAACTGAACAGAGAAGAGAGAGAGTTTAGATGGATTGAGAGAGAAGAAGAGAAACTGAGAAAAGACTGAATAGTGTGATCAATTCATTTGAATAGCATGGGATAAGAGGATTGCAAATGTAGCTCTTAATATATAGACTCTAATCCCCACCTACCCCCTAACGGCCACTAACGGCTATTTCAGTAACTAATACTAGCTAGCAGTAACTAACCTTTAATATTACAAGTATGCAACATACACTTTCAATGATGATTACCATTAACAGTTCCTATTGTTCTAACACCAGTAAATCTGATTTTTGGTACTGAAGTTTAGATAAGAATAATCTTATTTATGGATTCAAAGAATGTTATTTATCTGGTGTGAGTGTTACAAGACTTTTTGTTGGAAGCAGATTCTCGTCAATTTCTTGAATTATAGTTGCCTTGGCAATGGTCTCCATTGTATGATGATTTGCCTCTTGGATTTTGTCCTCCACATAAAAGGAGCAAATCTCCATTACTCCAGTTTACTTTATTGGGATCCAAGCTTTACGTTAACACCATAAAGGTAATTTCATATAACATTATTAAAAGTCTGAACTGAAGGTTGTGTAAGCTTAAGTTTCAGAAAGAAGGTTGTGTTACCATTCCATTTTGGCAATTCCACATCCTTCACCGAGAACGGTAAAGAGGTTCTCGCTTGAGATTGTTTGTGGTCTCATTACATGCTTAGTTTCCTTTAATTAGAAGATGCGACCACAAACATTCTTAAAGCCATGTTTGGTATGATGAAAGGAAGGTACTCATGGAAAACGAGATTGAGATTTTATACATTGTCCATTGTATCTGTATTGTTGTTGCTAAACAGTGTTTTTGTGCCCAACTTCTTGCTTTCTAACTTCACAATTTGCAGGTTGACTCTGGAATATTTGCTAGTTCTTGGAAGGCAGAAAGAGTGACAGGCTAGCTATCCATCTCCAGCATCTTTCAAATCTTCCCCAAAATCCTTAAAATCTCGTATGAGCTTGGTTGTGAATCTAATGATGTGCCAATTGATAAAGCCTGCCTTGAACTGGTGAAGTGGAAAATGTTTTCACATGTCTACACAGCACCGGTATTGTACAATAGTTCCCTTGAGGATGAGCTCCAAGCCATTGTAACGAAAGCTTGGCTTGAGGTCAAGCATGTGAAAAGGAGAAAAGTTCATTGATATGAAAATAATTAAGACATGCGTTATTTAGGTAGTTAGTATCTAATAAAAGGTGGTTAAGTCATTTTCTTTTCTTTTCTTTTTTTTTTTCTGTTGTTGCCTATTCTAAGGATGTTCTACCTTAATCCTATAAATACTAGGATCCCTCTCAATTGTAACTAGCCTGATGATGATAATGAAACATATTATTCAGATTATTCTCTGATTCTCTCCCTGAATACCGTCTGTTTCTCTCTTTCTTCCTGAATTCCCCTTCTTTCTCTTCAGTTCTATCCTATCTCTCTTCTCTATTCTATCTCTTCTTCCATTTTCATGTCAATGGTATTAGAGCTTTCATTATTTGGCCATTCTCTCATCTTCTTTTGCATCTTGACGGTGTACAGTGAAGACCTGCAGTCAGAACAAGCAAAGAATGGAGGAAAGATTACAAGAGAATAAGCAAATGACTTAATTACCCTTTACTAGATACTAACTACCTAAATAACGCATGTCTTAATTATTTTCATATCATTCTTCAATTGACGCTTGTGTTTTCCTTGGTAGAATCAGCAGAAATTTACAAATCAGAATGGGATGGATCTTCGATTCCATTTCGAAAGTCAGGAATCATTTCGGCATTGATGAGCACAATGCTTACCAAGGAACTGCATCATGTGATTGAGAATGAAAAGCCTACTCAAGATAGCGTAAAACCTATAGTTTATAATGGTGAGTATGGTACTGAGGCTCCTATCCGAATAAAAGCTCAAAAAATGCTCAGCTTTGTAGATAACTAGATATGAAGGAAAAGGTTAGGGGTCCAGAAGACACGCCTTGATATTAGGTTGTCACTGGAGCCAAACTCTGTATAGAGAGAGGCAAAATCTCCATCAATGCCAGGTATTCCTTGTTGGCTATTATGTCAGAAGATTTCGTGCATACATGAGAAAGCTAGCATCTTGCACATTTTGATACATGTAAATCTAACTTGTACCTTCGTTTTATCAAGTTCCCATTTTGATTTCACTTTTCGAATCAATATCTGCACGAATAAAATTTTGTATTTTTCTTAAAATCATTGATGGTTTTTCTTAAAATCATTGATAGGACTCTTAATACATTTTGAGTATACAAAGAAAGTGGAGGGGCATATTTGCTAGAATAAGAGACTTGAGATAGATTCGGGCAAGGAGCTGGTTTCACAAGTGATAACTTGTAAAGCCATTTTCTCTGTTGAATATTAAGGATTGAATATAATTTATTTTCGATGTGGTAAATACGGTCATCGCAAAGAACAGTGTTCATTAAATTCTCAGGTGAGCTCATCATCTGTGAATGATAAGAGAAATTTAAAGGAAAATGTAAAGCACATATGCCAGCTAAACAAGAATCCAATTTAAGTGCTGTTGTTAAATTTAATGGCCATCATGGCCTGCCCAGAGAAATTTTAGTGCACGTTCTGTCCTGAGGATAAATCTGTTCGGACTACAAGCCATAATTGGACTTTTAAATCTTAAATCAACATACCCCTCCGATCTTATATATTTGTTACTTTTTAAAAGTATAATTTGGTCTATTTGATAAGTCATTGGTTGATGGAATTGTTTTATTTCAAATTGAAATTTTTAAATTATCCTTACAAAATGAGAGAGAGAAAGGCATAAAAAATAATATTATATTGTTTATTTGTTTTTTTTTTACTTTTTACTTGATGTTTATGTTTGAAATTTTATTTATTTTTATTCCTTATACTTTTATTGTATTGGTATTGATGAGGTTGGTAAAAATAATTTATAAATGGGATAGGGGGGAGTATTTACTAATTCAAAGACCAATCCAATTTTTAAAAGAGAATATATATAGGTCTTGCAAAGCAGACTTATTTAAAAATAAGTCTCACAAAATTTAAAAACTATAGCCAAGTTCCTTGAAATTTAAGTGTAATTTAAAATTAAGATTAAAAGACAATAATGCTCTTGTTAGAAATACATTATATCAATCAAATAATTTATACTACTTCATCAGTAATTTACAACTATCACTTTAACTTTTTACAACTTTAACTTTACATATTTAATAGTTAAACTAATCATGCATTATTAAAAAGTTTGACACTAATTGGTTACAACTATGTCATCATTAATTTACAAATATCACTTCAGCTTTTTATAACTGTAACTTCACATATCTAATAGTTAAAACGTTTAAATATTTGATGTAAAAAGTTGAAGTGATAGTTATAAATTATTGATAAAGTAGTTGTAAATTATTTAATTGATGTAATGTATTTTAAATAAGGACAATATTGTCTTTACACCTTAATTTCAAATCACATTCAAGTTTTAAGGGAATTGACTGTGATTTTTAAATTTTATAAGACTTATTTATAAATAAATCTATTCTATGAGACGTGTAATTTTTTTTTTTTCAAACATGGTCGGTCGCTCTTCATTGATAACTGTTGTCTGCTCCCAACTAGACTATGACTAGTAAGAATAACATGAGTTAATTCTTGTTGAGTTTGCAAATCTTGTGCCCATCTGTTTTTAATGTGATCCTATAATTCTTTGCATTTCTTGTGACAAATGTCATAGTCGTAGCTATTAAGTTTGAGCGCAATAAATGCTGAAATGGAATAACCATATTTTCATCTATTATGTACTAAAAACCATGTTGATCGGTTTGTTGGATGGTGAAGTGCCTCCCAGAGACACATGGCTTTCAACTTTGATTTCATGAAGGATTTGTAAACTCTGATTCACCTTGAAATCAATTTCCAAATTATCGAAAATTATCTTCAATAGTGCTGTAATATCAATAAAAGGTACTTGAAAGGATACATAACAATACAAACTAAGAGAAGATAGCAACACGTAGTAGTACAGTCATTACTCACATTTATTTCCAGAAATTTTATCTTCAGCATAGAGACTCCTATTTTTGACCCTAAGAGAAAAAATCTTAGACACTTCCTGCAACATGATTTAGGATGATCAATCCCTGCATGCAAAGTTTGGCGGGGAAAATAATTAATTAGTGGAGGCTCCTGACAAACATGGATAGTGCAGCAAATGACCATGATCAGTAATTAATCCTTTTAGATTTTGTACAGGGTTTAAAATCAAGGTTAATTAATTGGGTCTTTGGAATATCTTTGACAAGCTGTATTCATAAAGTAATTAATCATTCCTAAATTTTGGAAATTATACCATTTTATTCCTCATATAGGTTTTGATAAATCTTCCTTTCTTGTAAATCTCATCAATCTTCACTGTAGAACTACAGTGAAAAAGTATCTCAGCTAATTCTTTGTTAATTAAGTGTGTTGTGGGCCCACTAACAATCTCCTTCATTTGTAATTACTGCAGGAGGATCACTGCAATTCTATAGTAGTGTTGATAATCCATAACGGATAGAAAAAAATGTTCAAGAAAAAACATGTGGGCATGGAATGGAAATATAACTTAAGGTGACCCACGCTATTCTTCCTCCCTCTAAAAGTTGAATATTTTAAAATGATTTTTTTTGGAAGCTGAATTAAATAGATTTTCACATAAAATATTATTAAAATATTTTAGATATGTTACCCAGTTAAATTTTAAATTGTACCCCCCAATAAAGATTCGGATATCAGTTTATCATATTGTGGGGAGTTAATCCATTCCACTAAGCCCATTAATTAATGTTTAAATTTTATTAATTTTTATAGCTTTTTAAGTACTTGAGGGGAATGGAGGAGATTTTAATGTGTTCAATTTTAAAAACGGAAGAAGTGGTTGAAAGTTTTAAATTAATTATTTTAATTTTAACTCTTACATTTTCTCTCTCTTTGTATATTTTTTTAAAAAAATTGAACTCATTAGAATTTTTATTTTTTCCCCCTTCTCCTTCATTCTCTTTAAGTTAAATAGTAAAAGGTTAATATTTTCGCGTATCGTACGGGTATTAAATCTAGTTTATTGCATACAATAGCTTAATTTGTCATTAGGCATAAAAATGATTGTTCATATCAATTCTTTTTCCAAATATTCGTACTAATCTTTTTTCAAAATTAAATAAAATAAACAGCCCATGCAAAAAGGCTCATGCTAAACAAAACAAAGAAGACGAATCCCATTATCAATAACCTACGAAGACTTTAAACTAAACAAATGGAGAGCACAAACAAATTATATGTCAAAATATTTACAAATTTACTATTTCTCTTCATTATTTATGCAAGTCTAAACAAGACACATATGCAAAAAATTTTGAAATTTTTAAAAAGTCAAGATGCAACATTATATATGAATTGGAAAATAATTTCTTTCTCAAAAAAAAAAAAACATGACAAATATTTATATGCATGTACCACTTGGGTAAATTAAAAATCATCAGGACTTTCATGAAAGTGAGAATAACTTTGATTTAAAGTTTAATTTGTTGGACAAACTCTAAATTGAACCTTTATATAGAATTTCCACAAATTAGAAAGTTAGAGCGGACTGTAATCTCATAATAATAACTGAAAAACACAAGGAGGGGAGAATTAGAAGAAAATATATATGAGATAAGAGAGGAAATCATCTAGCTAGAAAGTGCAGTCACTACTTGGGAACCCTCATAGAACATAATAATGACCATAAGGTCTCTATTTATAATCCTCTATCAAAGTTATTTTAAATTAGTTAATTTAGATTGAGCAAATATCTAAACCTAGATATAATCAACTAATTCAGGACACCCTTAGGATATTTTATCATCCTTAATGATATCTTATGACTCAATGATATCTCATTAGGGGATATTAGATTTAAATTAATTTCTATAAATATAATATATAATTATAATATATAATATATAATAAATTATTTAACAAGTTTACCTGATGGTGGCGAGAGAAATAACTATAAGGCTGCAAATTTTGAAACGAGAAGATGCTTGGTAGCTTCATCTTCCCATTGCAATTGATTCAACCAGCTTCGATCTCCTCTAACGCACCGTAGATTTTTCAATGTACTTTGAGAATCAAATGGAAGCTTCTTCAAACTTAGTCAGCGTACTACTTCAATCTCCTCCAGACAAGGAAACTTTAATGCCACTCTACAAATGCTCCTTAAGTTGTTCAAAAATCGCAAATGAAGATGAGTGAGATTGGAAAAAATATTACTTTCCACTCTCTCAGTGTCAGCAGTACAAAAATCTTCTCTTATAACTTCTACCAGTGAATTGCACCGATTTAACTGAAGGACTTCAAGGTTTGGAGCATGTATAAGCCAATTCAAGTCAAATATTTGACACCTAGAGATAGTCAACTTGCGAAGGACGATTATATTTTCATGCCCCAAAATTGAGCTCCTCGAAATACTCATAGCTTTAGAATCCTCTGATGTTGTTGTGTCTTCAAAAATGTGTACACTAAGGTCGAAAACTTGTAATGTTTCAAGATGCAACATTTTCCCAAGTGATGAGTACAAGTCATGGATTGAGTTTGTATTCCATCTATAGGTAACATCTAGATGACACATGCACCTTTGCAATTTTGAGGAGACCAGTATTTTATGAATAGAGGAGGGACTAGAGGTAGAAATGCGTGTATCTTGAAGTTGATCTAAGCCTTCTAGCTCATGCAACAACATATTTTCATCATACACAAGAGAGTCCCTCGTTACCATACTAAAAGCTTGAAGAGATAACAAGCTGGATATAACTTTTCTTGGGAATTCAAGACGTTTAATTCCGTTCAACAACAAGTATTTCAGCTTCTTCAAATTCTTGAACTCCTCTGACAATTTTGTAATACCAGTATTTGATAGGTTCATGTATTCTAGGTTCACAAGGACCTCAATCGTTGCAGGTATATTTATTATATTTTGATTAGATGACAAGTCTAATACTTTAATAGTACTTGGAAGAACAAATACTTCAGTTGGAAACTCTTGCACCAAAGTATCCCTCATAAGCATAGTGAACAGGTTAGGACAATGAGGTTTTTGTGATGGATTTAGAATCATATGACCCCTTCCCCATATAGATAGCCTTTCTACCTCTTTCCACTTTGAATGATTATATACTTCAAGGCCTTCTGTCGCAGAGCCATCTTTTACAAAGAATCTTGTCTTTTTCCCATGATCACATGCTACCCAAAGAGCCACATCTCTAATCACATCATGCATCTTAATTGTGTTTTCTTTGTGACCATTTTCCAATAAGCAAGCGTGCTTCAAAGTTGAAATTATATCTTCTCCTTGCTTACATGCTTCATAAATATCATCAAATTCAACCAAAAAACCTTCAGCTATCCAAAGCAAAATAATATCTTCTTTTACAATGTTATAGTCCTCTGGGAATAGTGCACAATACAAAAAACATGATTTGTAGGTATCATTTGGCAATCTATCATAACTAAATTCAAGCATGTAATAGACATCTTCAACCATACCTGATACCCTTGAAGGATAACTCCTCAAAATTTCTATGGCATGCTTCCATTCATTGGGAGTCAACTTATTAGCCATGGCATGTCCAACAGTACAAAGAGCAAGTGGCCATCCTTGACACTCATCCACCACTTGTGTTGCAAGATGCAATATATGAGGGTCTTCAAGAGCAGTTTCACCCACCTTTTCTTTAAATAGGTCAAATGCTTTGTTTGGTGTGAGACAATTTACCTTTATATGTTGCTGCGCTTCCATCTGGCCGCATACTTCCCTCGATCGAGTCGTGAATATTATCTTACATTTATGATTATTAGGGAAAGGAACTCCCAATTTCAACAAATCAATTCTTTTCCACACATCATCTAATAACAATACAAATTTTTTCTTATTTAAGATATTGAATAGCACACGAGCTCTGTCATCCGCCATCTTGTTATCCCAAATATCATCTTGAACACGCAATTTCTTTCGAATGTCTTCTTGAATTTTTCCCAAATCTGCATCTTTAGATGCCACAACCCAAATGATTAAACTGTGCTTTCCTTGAAAGGAACTCATTGTTGAATTTTTTAAGTAGAGTGGTTTTGCCCACCCCGCCCATTCCATACAAGCCAATAATGCGCACCTTATTGTTCTCAAAGCATGAACATAGCTCTTCAAATGTTGATTCTACACCCACAGCCATATCCACAGGAAGTGCAATGAATTGATCGCCAACAAACTTCTCTGCTACAACATCAAAATGCCCTCTGCTTATAAGATCGTTAATGTCCCTCAACTTCTGGGCGACCACCTTATGGAGCTTGTATCTAGCTCGACAATTCTTGGGACAGTGACCTCCAAGACATTTGGCTTGTATTTCTTGATCACCTCGTTGCAGAATGGCCTGGACTTCATTCTGTCGGACTTCAATTTCATCCATCCAAACCCTTACGACATTCAAAACCTTCAGGTCCGGATCTGGATCTTGGTGTGCTGTTTCTACCTTCATCTTGACATCAAGGTACATGCCATTGAGCTGAGTTGAAGCATTTCGCAAAGAGTTGAGATTCTCTCCAAGCTTGCGTATTGATTCTACTCGCGTGGCGCAGTAACCACACAAACGGGTTAAGATGTCAAGGACTGGGGTAATAAATTCAGCCATGGTTTGGATCGGATGCGCCAAATTGAAGAAGTGAAGATATCGAAATTTAGAAGGAGATGATAAGAATGCAATGAACAACAATGTCTCTGGTTGGGGTATAGCAATGTTTGACTACCTAGTTGGTGTGCGCCAGCTTGAAGATTCTTTTGGTCATTAATTTAACCTATGGTTCCGAGAAAGACCATGTGCCAACATGAGGCGACAACCCATATATTTTATTATACGTGATTGGAGTCTTGTCTTCTTGTTTTAATTTAAACATATTTAAATTGGGGGAATGCCATGGACGAGAACATGGTCTCTGAAGTTGTAATATATCAAGGCCAATTCAATTTGGAAGGGAAAATATCATCTAATAAGGATCCTTGGAGAGTTCTTATATCAAAGAAGGATTTTAAAAATATGAAATTTCTTTACACCTTAGGTTATAACGTTATCTAAAAATAAGATTTTGTGAGAAAAAACTTAATTGCCTCTAAGATTTTATGGATGCATAAACAAACATCCATTTAAGTTTTGAAAAGTAACTATATGTAATTAACAACCACTCATTTAGAAATAAACAAATTACAAAAGCTAATAGCACATGTTTAATTATAATGTGTTGGTCCTGAATAAATAAACACTGATTTGGATTTTGACAAGTAACCATATGTAATTAACAACACATTCAAACTTAAATGATTATAATTGATAGCACATATTCAATTGTATAAATGTTAGTTTTGTATAAATAAGCATCCATTCAGATTTGACAACTAACCATAAATAATTAACAACAACCCATTAAATTATTTAACTTTTGGGGGTAATTAGGTCTTTTCTCATAAAAAATGATTTTCAGATAGGCAAGGGAGTGCAGAAAAATTTCATATTTTCATATGGTTATTGTTCTGCTGTTTTGACCTTCATCTTCACATGAAGGTACCTGCTATTGAGTACATTTGAAGCATTTCTCAACGAGTTGAGATTCTCTCCAAGGTTGCGTATTGAATCTGCCCGTTTAGTGCAATAACCACACAAACGGATAAAGATGTCAAAGATTGGAGTAACAAAATCAGCCATGGTTTGGATGATACACCAAAGAAGTGGAGAACGAACGAAACTGAGAAGGAGAAGATAAAGATGTAATGGTGAATAATGCTTCAAGTTGGCATAGGTCAATGCACGTTTGACTATCAGTTGGTGTTAGACTGGTAGTTTTAGTATTTGTTTTCATCATCTAACCTCTACAGACTACAGGTTGAGAGTCATTTCAAAAGCACCAATAATTTCTAATGGATGGATTGGTTTCAATACTCCTCATATTTATTATGGTGGGGTCTCGTGTTCTTGTTTTTATTTGAATATAATTAAAATGACAATAAATTGGTAGGAAGTCCTTGTGACATTTAAGGAAAATTAAATTGAATGATAACCCAACCATAAAAAATTTACAGTACGTAATTTTTTTTTAAAAAAAATAAATTGCATAGAAAGTTTTAAGATCAATGGTCTAAAAACAGTGCTATCTATTTTTTATTAATTTAAAATAAGTTGATGGGTAGCCTTCCAAGGAAAAAAATACTATTTCTTTTTTTTTTTTTGCTGAAGAAAATAATATTTCTATATACTTAGATTTGATTGAATGAAAATGAATTTGTGGAATTTATTTTTTTTAAATCTGTTAAAATTTTAGACTCTACAGGATATTATTTCCTCTGCTTCATAAGACAAAATTACACATATTAATAAAGTTTATTAAATACATTATACAACTTTATTTTATCAAAAAAATATAAATTTTTAAAATACCTTTCATTTAATATAATCTTAAATGATTACAGAGAGAATAATGAGGAGTGAAGCTAAGTGAAGGATAATGTTGAAAGATTATATTGAATGAAACCTTATTTTTGACAAATTATATATTATATTTTGGGATACCAAATTACTTCTAAAATTATTTTATAATTTGGGACGCTGAAAGTACAAGATTATTTCTATAAAATCTCTTGGTATTCTTAAGCGAATCTGGGACGTTATGTAATTGATATGCTCGAATATGTCTTTTTGTCCAGAAAAGCCTGAAATAAAATATCAAAATACTCAAAAAATAGTAAGATAAAAAGTGTTGAATAGTTTAACTAGTTTGATAAATTACTTAAATTACTTTGACTTCCAGCTTCAATGGTGACTCCGGTGGCTGTGGAGAGAATTTTTTTTTAAAGATAAATAAAAGACATTTTAGAAATGGCTAAAATGCATTCAACCCTCTTAAATTTTAAGACAGTTATATATAACCCCTTCAACTTTTAAAGTTTAAAATTAACACCTTTAATCTTTAATTTTATTTTTCAAAACCCCCTATCATTAATTATATTATTTTTTCATGAGGGTTAAAATGTCATTCAACTAAAAAATTTTATTAAATAAAAATATTTTACTGTGTAACTATTTACAATAAATTTCTTATATTTTTTGGATAGTTGAGGTATTGATACTAAAAAAAATTTTATTAATTGTATAAAATTTTAAATATTTATGTTTACATTAGTTTTATTCATGTTTTTTTGTTATCAATAGTGCATGATTTTATTGTTTTAAAAGATAAATTTTTATTTATTTTTCATATTAGATTAATGTAATGTACATGGCTAAAATATTTAAAATATTTTAAATTCTAAAATTTAAATATTTAAACATTAGATAAAATTTAAAATTTTATACAGTTATAATAATATTTTTTTATTATCAATGCCTCAACTATCTAAAAAATATAAAAAATTTATTATAAATATTTATACAATATAATATTTTTGTTTAATAAGATTTTTTAGTTGAATGATATTTTAATCCTCATAAAAAAATAACATAATTAACAATCGGAGGTTTTGAAAAAAATTAAAGTTTAATGTGGTTAATTTTAAACTTTTAAAGGTGATGAGAGTTATATGCAACTGTCTCAAAATTTAGAGTAGTTTTATGCATTTTAACCTTTAAAAATTAACTGACAAAACTAAGTTTCCATAATATAGTTTTTTCATTTATGATATTTCAAAATTCTTTTGTAGTTGACTGAGAGTATTCTACGCAGTCGTTTCGTAATATTCCCTCAATCAAATATTAAATAGTAAAATGAGATTAAAAAAACATGTAGAGGTATCAAAGATAGTTTCTTTAAGTTTTCTTCGTGAGACGATTACATTTTTTGTTTTTTGGGGAAAGTATAACCATGTTTGTGCCTAAGATTTAAAACAACATCTCCACCACGGCCAAGTGTTAATTGTTATCTATTATATCATGAGATTTCGTCGCTACGTGAGGGGTCAAGCCTTAGCTCCAGCTGCAGGAAAGATAGTGTATTCATGCTAATTAAATTAAAGTTTATTTATTATCAATCTTGATAAGAAATTTAACCTGGACGGTCTAATTTAAAATTAAAATTTTTATAATTTTTATACATTGAATATTCAGAATTTTTATTTTTGTAAATATCTCCTGATTGACACTTTCAAAAAAGATATTTTTTTAAAAAATAACAAGTTAAAAATGTTAAAGATGAATTATTTAGAGTAAATCTGTATAGTTAATTTATAAAAATTTTAATCCTTTAAATTAAATACAAACCAGATTGGAGATGAACAAATCAAATTTATTAACATTTTTATAATTGTTATAAATATTTATTCTAATAAATCGAAAAAATTGAAGTGAAGATCGAAATTGAGAAGAAGATAAAGATGTAATGGTGAATAATGTTTCAAATTGGCGTAAATCAATGTTTAACCATCAGTTGGCGCCAGCTTTAGTATTTGTTTGCATGGTTTATTTATTTTTTTGGCCAATTTTTCATGATTTAACCTATAAAGGTATTCGGAGAAAGTTCATGCCAACAAAGCAACAACACAATAATTTCTAATGGATGGGTTGGCTTGAACACTCTTCATATTTATTAAGGTAGGGCCTGGTCTTCTTGTCTTTATTTGAATATTAGAATTAAAAGGGTAAAGAATTTGGTATAGAGCAGTTGTAACATTTAGATTGGAGAAAAAGTTAAGAATAAAAAAATAAGAGAAAAGAAAATATGGAGAAAAAATTAAAAAGAAAATAGTATATCTTCTTATGTTTGAATGAACAGAAGAAAATATAAAAAAAGTAAATATTACATTGACTATAATACCATTATATCAAAATTATATTATGTGTCATATTTATAAAAGTAAATGGAAGGAAAAAATTATATTAAAATTAATTTCATCAACATAATTTAAAATAAAATTATTTATTAAAAAAATTTATTTTCATTTTATTATATGTTAAAATCAAATAAGATAATTTAGCAAAAATATGTTATTTTTTATTTAAAAAATTAAAAGTGGATAAGTTATTAAAATTAAATATAACAGCATAAAATAAAAAAATTATAAACTTTACTTTTGCCCACCACTAGTCCACCATAGTATTATCAAAATAAAAAACATTTCTATGTAAATGTCGCGGCTATTTATACTGTGAGATGAGTCACTTACTGATTGATCAAAGTATGGATTTAGTGATTTACAGATCTTCACTGCTATAGAAGCCATAGCCATGTTAAATGCCGCTAGGATTAGTTAATTATTTTTTTTTCAAGTATATTGTGCTTTGTTTGTTGTCTAGATTTTGTTTTTTTTTCCCTTGAATGATCAAAAAAACATTAAAAGTACATTTCTTGGAACTTGCCAGTTACATGGGGAGATAACTAATTTGAATCAAAGAAGGAGTGTGTAATTAGAGGTAGTGTACTGTGAAGAGAAGAACAAATTGCATGAAAAGGAGCGAGTGAAAATGGGGGGGAAAAAGGAGAGAAAAAGGTAGGGAGGGAATAACAAATTTCTTCCCAAAATCCCTTCATGTATGAAGAAAAAACTTGGGGAGAAAATGTAATGGACCTTACATCCTATTTTCTTTCCTATTTTTTTCCTCTCAATTCTCTCTCCTCATCTAAACAAGATAAAATTTATTTTCTCTTCCATTTTTTTCTATATTTTCTTTCTTTTCATGTTTTCTCTCTATACAAATAGAGTATAAAGGACAATTAAATTGGATGATGACCCAACCTTGGAAAATTTACAGTAAATTTATTGTCAAAAAAATGTAAATTGCTGTCTCATCCAACTTACAGTAAAACTAATAAAAAAGTTTTACGGTCAATGGTCTAAAACAGTGCTATCTATTTTATATTAGTTTTAAGTAAAGATGGATGGCCTTATGAAAAAGAGAAAATAATATCTCTATATACTTAGATCTGATTGAGTGATGTATGGTCTCCTGCAGATTTCATTCCATGCATGGTGGTGCTGAAACGCCTGCAATATAGCATCATGTACTTCTTGTTTTCTATATTTGTATATTTACTCCTGTCATATATGTATACAAAAAATAAATTGTGAAATTTAATTTTGTAAAATCTCTTAAAATTTTAGACTCAACAAAATATTACTTTTCTTTGTCTTAATTTATAAGACAAATTTAGATAAAATTATGCATTTCAATAAAGTGCATTAAATATATTTTATAAATTTATTTTTTGAGCAAAAATATAAGGGAAAATGACAATAAAATCCCCCAGATATATATAAATGACAATCTAGTCTCTCAAAATGTCATAATTCCACTGAAATTCTTAGGGACTTCTGAGTCAATAAATTTTAAATTGAAAAAATTATTTTACCATTATTAACAAGTTGTGATTTATTATTCAATTCTTGTAATTCTTTAAATAAAGGTATTATTCTTTAAAAAAAGTGTGATTAGGCTTTTTATTTTGAGACAAAAATTACACTTGACAAGTCATAATTTCTTGTTCAATTTTTACGATTCACAGAACAAAATTTGTTATTTCTTAAGCAAAAGTTGTGATTCAGGTTTGTTATTTTAATAAGAGTAAAATGGTCTTTTCACTTTAAAATTTATTGACATAAAAGTCCTTATAAATTTCAGTGGAATTATAGCATTTAAGGGATTAGATTATTATTTATATAATTCGAGGAGATTTTATTGTCATTTTTTTAAAATATAAGCTTTCAAAAATATATTTAGTTAAATATAACTCTAAATGATGCGATAAATAGAGAGACAATAATGAGGAGGGAAGGTTAATATTGAAAAAGTACATTTACTAAAACTTTATTTTTATCAAATTGTCTTATATTTTGAGACATCAAATTATCTCCAAAATTGTTTTATAATTTTCTTTTCTTACTCAAGTATCCTCATATCGAAAGCAATCCTGTTTAAGACACTATCAAATACTAAATATAGGCGCTTCTCCTAGCAAAGATTTAAACTTTAATTTGTTATATTGTGAAGTACTAGCCTTTTCTACTAAACTTAACTATCATTGGATTATCTTAATATTAGATACGGAGGTAGTACGAGGTTATTTGTGTAAAATCTCTTGGTATTCTTGAGCAAATCTGGAACGTTTTGCAGCTGATGTGCTCTTTTTGTAGAAAAATAAAGAGCCTAAAATAAAATATCAAAATTGTCAAATAATATTAAGACAAAAGTTGTTGAATGTTTTGGCTATTTTGATAAATTACTTTGACTTCCAACTTCAGTAGTGATTCCAGTGGTTGAGGGATGAATTTTTTCAAAGACAAAAATAAAAACGTTTTAATAATTGACCAACAAAACTAAGTTCCAATAACATGTAGTCGTTTTTTTTTTTTTTATTCCATTGCTTGGTGTGAGAAACTTGAGCGTATTGCCATTATCAACGACAGCCTCAAATTTGATATCAAGGTACATGCTATTGAGTTGATTTGAAGCAATTCTCAAAGAGTTGATCTCCTCTCCAAGCTTGTGTATTGATTCTACTCGTTTGGCGCAATAATCACAAAAACGAGTTAGGATCTCAAAGACTGGAGTAATGAAGTCAGCCATGTTTCATTGGATGCACCAAATTGAACAAGTACTGAAGATCGAAATTGAGAAGGAGAATATAGAAATACAATGAGTAATGTTTGAGGTTGGCGTAGATAAATGTTTGACTATATCCTGTGGGAGTGGGATTAGTTCCACTCTTATGTTTTATTTTTCACAATTAAATTGGAAGCCCCAACCATAGAAAAATTACAGTAATTTATATTACTTACAAATTATACAAAAAATTTGCCATTATTTGTCTAAAACATCGCTACATAATTTCGATCAATTTTATTTAAATCGATGGTTAGCCTTACTTATAAAAGAAAATAATGTTTCTGTATATAAAATTAATTGATCATTCAATTACTTTTTATGAAATTGAATATATATAGATATATTAAATCTAATTCTCTTAAATCTGTTATCTAAAATATTTTCCAAATATCTTTTATTATTATTGTGTATATATCTCAATTATTATTAAGAGATATTATTTGATATTATTATATAGTTATTAGTCATTATTGTATTTTTTATTTTTTTGTGTATATAATGTAACCTTCATCTTAATAATAAATACAACATTCAGTCAAAAAAAAAAAAATAAATACGATATTTTCAATCCTTCTCTAGTTTCTCTCTCTTGTCTCTAATAGCTCTCATGGTACAAGAGTCATATAATATTTTTTTCCATGATAAGTCAGGTTTTGAAGAGCGTTAGCTTTCCTTTACATCAGTGTTGCCATCTTTCGTCACGAGTTTAGATCTACCTTAAATTTATTTTCGCATATCCACAGGCAGCTTCGGTAAATCGACATTTTCATATGCGTTAACCATTGGATCGTGCTAAAATTTGGTCAGCAAGTAAAGAACATCCAACACGTCATTATGAACGGTCAGACCGTTGACTAGTTTCCTGGTGTGAGCACCATGCCATTTGTACTACAGTCTTTGGTTTAGATGTTTTTAATCCTTCATTCTCTTTTATAAGCCTTTTTTTCCCTTAAAAAATGAAAAATTCAGATGTTGCTCAATCTGTATTAGTTAGTTTGAATGGTTGTAATTATCATCTTTGGTTAGAAAAATGTGATCTTGCTCAACCTACTTTAGGATCCTCTCCGATTGAACTTGAAACTTTGTTGCGCACATTCATCTTCGGTTTCTCTAGCCTATTTGCTGCCTTATCTACTCTCACCGATAAATCCACTTGGTATTTTGACTTTGCTTGTTGCAATCATATGACACGTCAAGAAAAATTTCTCCTCTATGATACCTAACTCTATTGCCTATCCTATACACACTGCTGATAATTCTCAAATGCCTGTTAGTCATATTGGTACTGTCTCCTTGCCTTCCTTATCCATTTATGATACATATTTTATTCCTACCATTAACTTTAACCTTCTTTCTATTGGACAACTTGTTGATATGGGTTATGATGTGTTATTTAATAAACATGGTTGTGTTGTGATGGATTCTCAAACAGGACAGGTTGTCGGTATCGGGCGCAAAGTTGGTTGCATGTTTGAGCTCATTTCAATACACCTACCTGAGATCATTGTTCCCACATTGTGTGTTGCCTCCACATCCTCTTCTCCTAATTCTTCTCTCGACCTATGGCATTATCATCTTGCTTACCCTTCTTTGAGTAAATTACGTCCTTTAATTTTTAGTGGTCTTTTAGGTCATGTTCATTGTCATTCTTTACAATGAGCTTCTTGTCAAATTGTCAAACAACCCGCTTTGTCTTTTCATAAAAATGATTCTATTGCTACTTCTCCATTTGATTTGATTCATTTTGATGTTTGGGGCCCTACACCTACTCCCTTTATGGGAGGATCCCGATCTTTTGTGATTTTTATTGATGATTTTTCTCGTTTTACCTAGATTTATATGATGAAACATCTATCTGAATTACTTGAATTTGATATCAAATTTGCTACTATGGTTCACACTCAGTATTCTAAAGTCATTAAAATTTTTCATCGGGATAATGGTTTGGAATATCGTGACTCTAAATTACTCACCTTTCTTGATTCTCAAGGTACTATTCTCAATATTCTTGTCCTTATACTTCTCAACAAAATGGTTGCGCTGAGCATAAACACCATCATATTCTTGATTCTATTAGAGCATTGCTCATTTCCTCTTCTTGTCCTGAATGGTTTTGGGGTGAAGCAGCCTTAACCTTTGTCTTTTCATCAATCGACTCCCATCTCCTATTATCGATAACATTTCTCCTTTTGAGCATCTCTATGGTTATCCTCCTGATTATAGTCTTTGAAAATCTTTGCTTGTGCCTATTTTGTTCTTCTTCCGTCTCATGAGACAAACAAACTTCAAGCTCATTCTCATGTTTGTTGTTTACTTAGTTATGTTTCTAAGCATAAGGGTTATCGTTGTTGAGATCCTTTCTCTCACCACATTCGTATTTCTCGGCATGTTGTCTTTTGGGAAAATATCAAGTTTTCATCTCAAACTAATCTCTTGTCGTTCTCATCTTCTTCACCTCCTATTTTTACAGATATTTCTACTGATCTTTTTCCCAATGACTTGAGTACAGATTCTTCTATTGAGCTCGTTTCCATGACCGACGCTGCGCCCACTCCAGATATGTCTACTGTCACACCTATTGCTCCTCTAGCACAAGTCACGCCTACTAAGCTCATATCGTCCACAGACTCTTGACCTAATCATGTAAGAAATCCTCCCTCTAACCTTAATTATTACCATTGTTTTTCTATCATTCTCTAATTCCAAGAACCCAAATCCTTTAAGGAAGCCTCTTGTGATCCCCTTTGGCAGCAAGCTATAGATAATGAATTGCAAGCCCTAGAGAAAAATGCATACTTGAGATCTTATTGATCTTCCTCCTGGTAAAACTTTGGTTGGGTGCTGATAGGTCTACAAGAACAAGACTCATTTTGATGGCTCTTTGTAGCAACGTAAGGCCTGCTTGGTGACCCAAGGATTCACTCAGGAGTATGGTGTTAACTATGAGGAAACTTTTACACCTGTAGTTTATATGACTTCTGTTCGCAGCCTTCTAGCCATTGCTACTGTTAACTGCCTTCACTAGATGGATGTTAAAAATGAAATGGAGATTTAGAAGAAGTGTATATGAAGCCTCCACCTAGGTATCAACATCCAAAAGACAAGGTTTGTTGTCTCCGTTGAGCTCTATATGGGCTCAAGCAGGCTCCACGTGCATGGTTTACTAAGTTTAGTAACACTATGAATCAATTGAATTTTTCTTGTAATCCTCACGACTCGGCTCTTTTTATTCGCTCTACTGCTCATGGTATTATTTTGTTACTACTGTATGTTGATGACATGATTATCACAAATAGTGATGATACAGGAGTTTATGAGCTCAAGACATATTTGGGCCAGCAATTTGATATGAAGGATCTTGATGGATTGAACTATTTTTTTGGAATCGAGGTCCACCATGAGAGTGATGGTATATCTGTCTCTCAAGTCAAGTATGCTATCGATTTGATATCCCAAGCTCACCTTTCTGATAAGGAGGTTGAAACTACTCCTATTGAACTAAATGTTCACTATACTTCTACTGATGGTACCTTGTTGGACAATCCCACCCGTTACCGCCAATTGGTTGGGAGCCTCATCTATCTTGCCGTCACGCAACCTGATATTACTTATGCAATTCATGTTGTTAGCCAGTTTATGTCTGAGCCTCGCACAACTCATTATGCAATAGTTCTTCAGATCATTTGGTATATCAAAGGTACTCTTTATCATGGGCTTTACTTCTCTGCTAGCTCCTCTCTTGCATTGCGAGCTTACTTTGATGTCGATTAGGGTGGTGATCATGACGATTGACGGTCTACGACAGGTTTCTGTATCTTCATCGGTCATTCCCTTATCTCTTGGAGAAGTAAGAAGTAGACATTAACCTCTTACTCTAGTGTTGAATTAGAATATCATGCACTAGCAGACACTACTGCTAAGGTACTTTAGCTTCGTTGGTTACTTGATGAGTTGGGAGTATCTTAGAGCTCCTCCACAGACATTTATTGTGATAGTTAAGCTGCAATTAAGATTGCTCACAATGATGTGTTTCATGAGCGGACCAAACACATTGAGATTGATTGTCACTTTACTCGACAGCATGTTGTTCGGGGCACCATCCGACTTGTTCCAATTCGAACCAAGTATCAGCCGGTGGACTTATTTACAAAGTCTTTTCATCCAGCCTGCTTTCAGTTTCTAGTAGACAAATTCAAGTTGCTTTCTGTCAAGCCATCTTAAGTTTGAGAGGGGATGTTATCTAAAATATTCTCCAGATATCTTTTATTATTATTGTGTATATATCTCAATTATTATTAAGAGATATTATTTGATATTATTATATAGTTATTAGTCATTATTATATTTTCTATTTTCTTTGTGTATATAATGTAACCTTCATCTCAATAATAGATATGATATTTTTCAATCATTCTTTAGTTTCTCTCTCTTGCCTCTAATAGCTCTCAAAATCATAATTATTTGTAGTTTAGCTAACACGGGGGGCTTGTGTTTTTACTTTTTACACAAAAATTGAAAGTGTGTTACACTTGTTCATAATTTATATATATGTATATATAATATGATTTCATTTAATTATTTTTATATTTGATATTGATAATTCACTTTTGACAATTTTATTTTAATATTTTGGCCTCCCTGCTCTGCTTTATGTGTCGTTTTATCATATTGGTGTGTTGTCTCTTTTTTTAATAATTTGAATGCGTATGTTGAATAGGATGTCTGAATGCTACGTAGGGCAATGAAGTTGGAATGCCCAACATGAGAAAAAAGTTAAAATGACAATTATAGGATGGACAAGAACATCAATGACAATAATAAATTTTAAACTATTAAAATCTCACTATAATTTTTAATTATAATAAATTATTTTTTATTGATGGGCTTAAATCACAATGGATTTTTATAAATATATACTATAAAGATTTTTAAGTATTTTCTTGTTAATTTTTTAAATGATAATAAAAAATCATAAATAATTGGTTTTCATAACTGACTCTTATAAATTCCCAACTAACATTGCAAATAATTCTAAATATATTTTATCAATTTTTAAATGATTTATCTATATATTGAAAGTAAAAAAATTATAAGTAATTGACTTGTGACTTATAATTGACTATTATAAATTTTTAATTAATGTTATAAATTTAAATTTAAATATATCTTCAAATTCAAAATTGATTGTAGTTGAGTATTTTGTATGGCCTTTACATTTTTTTTAAATGCTAATTGTATCTTTGGCGTTTGGCTTGTAGTTGATAAAAATACAATTTATTTATAACATTTAACTTCGGCAAGTTCTGAGAAAGTTCATGCCGACAACAATTTGAATGGATGGGTTGGTTTCAATACTCTTCTTGATTATTATGGTGGGGGCTTGTCTTCTTGTTTGCATTATAATAATATTCCCTCCGGTAATGTCATTTTTTCAGCATGTTTTATTTATAACAAGAAAAATTTTAAATTTTATTAAATTTATTAAAAAAACAAATCAAAGAAATTTTTTACTTTGCCCATATTAAATTAAAATTCTTTTCTGAATTCTTTGAATCCAGTTACTTGATTTTTCTTTTGTCCTTGAGCTTTCTTTTGTCGTTCTTTCTTCTCCACCATTTTCTCAACCTTGCAAACATTAACACTAAACTTATTATCAAGCTTATAATTAAGGATTAAATTGCATTTTTGATCCTATACTTTTCTTTGAGGAGAGCTAGGCAGCTTTTATTAATAAGTTAAGCATTTTTTTAAACTATTTTTTAAGAGGAGTAAAATTTCCTTCTGTTTTAAACTATTGAGATCATTTTTTCTAATATTTTCAATAGGAATTCATATATGAATTTTTTTTTTCTTAATTTTATCGATTGTGCGCTGGTATACATATATTAGAGTCCTTTCCGCTCACATGTGATGGGATAACCGGATCAATATGAAAAGCAAGGTGTTTCCGCCTGAAAATCAATGCAATAATGGCTTTGTTAAAAGTGTATAAATTAGATTCCCCTTCACTTTAAACGCATGCATCAATAACCAATAATTTCCTATATATTGAGGTGAAGGAGGACTCTTTTCATTAAAAAAAAAAAAAGGAGTCTTATAATAAAAATATCTTGAAATTTTTTTTCAAGCGCACCTAACATTATAATTTTTTTTGAAACTTTTTTGTTTCAAAAGTTTTAAAAATAAAATATTTTTGTCCCACCGTTAAATATGGAGAACATTGATTGTTAATTGAAGTTTAACCAAGACATTTTATAATTTTACCCTCCTTTGTTTTTACATTTTTCAGTCTCAAATATGGTGAGTGGCCTAAATCTACTCATTCAATGAGTATCTCAAATAAAGTTATTGAATAATATCAATACTTAAAAACTAATAAGATATATTTCTCTTCAAAAGTTCAAAACAATTCTTTGCAATCAAAGTACTTTTTACATATATACAATCACCTCAAAAAATTTGAGATTTGGTGACAATTCTTTATAATCACAATTAATTTATCATACTACATAAGACAGTCATTGAATGAGTGCAACTTAATTAAGGCACTTATCGGATCTAAATTCCAAGTGGTATATTGATCGATTTGGATGATTAAGCACCTCCCAGAAACATGTGGCTTGTGGTTGTCACTTATACCACTGCCAATAACCAACACAATATAACATACCAAATTCATACTGAAACTTGTACCATATTCATTTCTAAACTTGGATTTTTCATTATAAATAATTTGTAAGCTCTGATTTCACCTTGAAATCAAATTTTTCCAAATTATCTAAAGGTCTCCCCCCCCCCCTCGATCCCAACTAATACTCATAATTTTCTTTGTATAATTACTCAGCGCAGACTAACTGACACAGGAGCAAAAACAAAAATAAAAAATAAAAAAGACTTCAAAATGCCATATATTTTTAACTCACTAGCTTGTAGTCATTGTCTGACACATTAATTCATAACTTTAAAGCCACCATCATACTTATTTATTTGCCTTCCTTTCTTTTTATTTATTCTGTCATTTTTTTAATTGAAATCAAATAAATCCTTATTCTGTTGTTTTCTTTCACTAGTCTCGACATGTTTGGGTCCTTCAATCAACCTACTTATTTCTTGACTTTCTCCCCCATCTGCTCCGTCTCTATCCATTTAAAACCTATTCCTTTGGCCATTTCTTTTATTAATTGTCATTTTCTTACACTATTTTATTCTAATCACCTTCATGAAAAAACTTGAACTCTTCAACCTATTCGTTAAATAATTATTTATTTTTTATTTATATAATATAATTTGTTCAAGTCGATTCTTCTCTAACCACTGTAGTTAAAGAATTATACTATACGTTGGTTTGTTTAAGGTTATTCTATGAAAAAATCACTTTTTTTATTTTTGAAAATAAAAAATTTAAGAACGTGTTTGAATAAGTGCTCTTGATTTAATTATTTTTAAAATTATTTTTATTTTTTGTTTTTAAAAAATAAAAATATAGAAACAACTTCAAGTTGTTTTGGTTTTATTTTTCTTGAAATACCTTACATTTAATTATTGAAAAATACAATAATTTTGATCGATTTTTTGTCATAAATCACTATCATTAACTTTCTTTAATCCATCGATCTATTTTTTAATTTTAAATTTTTTTAAAATTAATATAATCAAATGAATTTTTATTTTGTCTTGTTTTAAAAAATAATTTTAAAAACGATATGTAAAAAAGTTTTTAAAAATAAAAAATGTGAACAAAAACCAAAAAGCCCTAGGTCTCTCATTTTCTTTTACTTTTCATTTTTTTATTTTTCATTTTCGTTAAATTAAAATTTCTAATGGCTCTGATTTTATTATTTTTGAAAAATTATTATAATTTTACATAAAAATATGTAAATAAATTTGAATGGTTAAAATTTGATCTAAATAATGTAAAACTATAATATTTTATTTATATATTTTTTTGTAAAATTATAGTAATAATTCTGTCATAAATTAAATTAGAACTGTTAAAAAGTTTTGATTTAATAGAGAAAAAAGAGAGAACGGTTTCCTATGTAGTAGCGGTAACGATTGCAAATTCTAGAAGGAGCATAACTGCCTCTTGCTTAACAAAAAGAAAAAAAGAAAAAAAAGAAAGATGATTTTTCATGCTAGCGCCACCTTCGTATCTATTTAACTTTCATTAATATAATATGATTTTTTCAATAATATGTGTCCAGTTCTATGGGTTTAATCTTGGTGATATAAGAGAATTGAGATAACCACACACAATATAAATTTACTCAATTACCTTCATTTATACAGCTAATTTGGAGTTAAATCTTTTTACTTTAATCTTATATAGTATTTGCCTTTTCTTAAAAAAAAAATACATGAAATCATTAATCTAAAACTGTCATCATACTTGCTCTCTCAAATCCAAAATATAAGCCTTTTTCCCCACTTAATATTAGTTTAAAATATAAACAATTTAGTACTTATAGAAATTTTTTCCCATTTTATCCATGTAGTTATTAACTTGGATTCTTGTATTTATTGTAAATTTTATGACATTCTTCCCACTCATCATAAATTAGTACTAAGGGTAGAAAGGAAAAAAAATATATATATATATATATCATAATAATAAATATTTTATTAACATACAAATTATTGTTGAAAGCTGCATATTTTGGATTGAAAGGGGTATTATATTTACTTTGGCAACCCCTTTTATTTCTGGGAAAATAACAATAGGTACCCTCAAAATAAGCAAATGATAAAATAGTACTATTCTGTTTCTATTT